TCGTTCACAATCTAGACAGACAGTGAGACCCCTCTTGGACAAAGATTGTAGTGTATTCTTGATTCAGTTGGTCTTTGACTGGAGGATTACACTGGCACTTATGATAGGTGTTAAACAGGACCGCGGAAGGAAAGATTATGAGATCCACTGACTGTCGTTGTAATCTAGACCTTCGGTGATTGATGCGTTCTCTTAAGCTGTAAAATAATATAAAATAGGCATATGTATTCATTTCTTGTTTATTTGATTTGCCAAGGGTGATTCCTATTCTGTTAGGATGACATAGTCGGTACTTTGGTAAATAAGGATGTTTACATGATGTGCTGTTATGAATTATTTACGGTCACTATCCAGTGCGCTGGATTGATGACATTACCGAAATAAGCTCAGGAATGAACATTATGTTAACCCCTGCAGGTGGACGATTGTCCGACATAATGATTAATGAACTGAGTGGTACTAGTTTCAGAAATGAATAAGAAGTTGATTAATTATTTTGTCAGTAATTTAATTAATCGACGGACGTTATATCTTAAACATAGGGAGGTAAACCAGTCAATCAAATTAATATTAATTAATCATGGAGGTCGAATTTATTCGATAAATTAGGAGCTAAATGGTGAGAGCAATAATATTACTCTAGTGAAATATTTTATTATTTAATTTCATTTAATGAAGAATTAGTTTTATTTCATAATTATTATTCCATTAGGAAGAGAATATTCCTTCTATAATATTACCTAGGATTAGGAGACTTTGAAGTCTTCTAGAAGGTAATTAGTATGAGGAATTCTAACCTACATGGGAGAATGACTTGGAGTAGAATAAGAATTCCTTAGCCTAATGGGATAAGCCCATATTTAGCACCGCCTTATGGTCCGTAATGGTGCCTATAGATACACCATGTCCCAACCTCTTGTACATGTTTGTGTTGGCCGATTTTTCTCTACTACATACAAGAGAGGAGTAATCTTTTATGAGAGTTAGGGAGATTCGATTAATCGCTCCATTAAGATTAATCGAAGTCGGTGTTTAGGTAATCCTTTAGAAGGATTTTTGGTACAAATATATTCGAACCTTCTTTCATATATTTCTGGTCACCCTCGCCACCTTCCACCGCCGTGAGCCACCGCCGGAAATCGTCTGTAGTCGTCGGAAGTCACACGAGCCCAGCCGATCGCAACCGTGAGCCATCGCCTGCAACAGCGTCCAGCCGGGCCCTGCCATCGACACCTAGCATCACCGCGCGAGAGCCCAAGACTACATGCCTGCTCGTGCAACGCCGCTGCATTCGATCGCCGAGAGTCGTCATCCCTGCAGTTCGCGATCGTTCCCAATGCGCGATCATCACGCGCGCACTACTCCGCGAGTGCCAAGGATACTTGCTCCGCACGCCCGCGTGTGCTCAGTCGCCTGCGCCCGTCCGCATCGTCATAGGAGTATCGCCACATGCCCGTGTATGTCCGTCTCGGTTTAGGAAACCCGCCAGTGTACGCGCGCGATGACCTACTTGTTCCCAGCGCCCGACCACGTCTGCTCGATCACCTGCGCATCACGTACACGACGTGCACCGTTGCCAGCGACCAGTCCATGACACCTGCCAGCGTCCGCGACCAGTCCGACAAGCGCCCTTCCACGACCTGCTAGCCGCCTTGAACCGTGACCGAGTCGCTGCACCCGTCGCCGAGACCGAGCCACAGTGTGACCGAGCTTCGTTTGATTGCTCGATTAGGATCGAGTAAAGGCCAAATCCAT